CAATTAAACGTAGGTTTTTCTTCCTTAGATTGTCATTTATTTGCCTTAATCTGTCTTCATGGTCCCTTAATTGATTGTCTCTTTTTTCCTCAGTTTCCCTCTTTGCCATTAACTTGTCTTCTATGTCACTCACTCGTTCTTCCACCTCGTTAACCCTCGTCGTTAGGACTTCTAGTTTGGATTGCATCTCATTCAATTGATTTTTAATTTCTGCCTGATCGGATCTAAATTCTGCAGTCATGAAGTCTCGTGAGTCCTTAATGCTTTTTTCTAGAGCCACCAGTAGCTGTAGAATAGTGCTTCTGAATTGGCTTTCTGACATTGAAGTGTAATCCAGATTTTGTAACTCTGTGGGAGAGAGGGCTGTTTCTGATTCTTTCTTTTGAGGTGAGGTTTTCCTTCTAGTCATTTTGCTCAGTGCAGAGTGGCCAAAAACAAGTTGTATTGGAACACGGGGGAGTATCACTGGCCCGTCTAGCTGGTCTTCTGGGGGAGGGGCCTGCTGTGCTGATTTTCAGGTGTTAGCACTTGGGGGAGCTGCTCTGCCCCTGCCTGCTGCAGGGCTCAGCGGGGGTTGTTTACCCCGTGGGGCCCCAGGAGGAACAGCAGCAGTTGCTATGGCAACTCTGGAAGCCTGGATTTAGCCTCCGCAGGAACTACGGGGCGGGGCTCTTGGTTCTCTGTCCGCAGGGCCTGGAGGCCTCGGGGCGGGGCCGCTGATCTGCTCAGCTCGGGGCAGGAGCGTCCTTGCTGTCCTGGGCCCTCCCGGCCTCTGCCTGTCCCAGGGGGAGGCCAGATCCTGGGCTGTGTCCCGGCGCCCTGTGCTCCGGGGCCTGCGCTGGTGGATTCGCGCTCCCGCCCTGCAGCTCCCTCCCTGGAGCCGCTCCCGAGCCCCTCCGGTCCGCTGTGCGCGCTGCAGCCCTTAGGGAGCTCGGAGCACTCCCCTGCGCTCGCAGGTGTCTGTTAGTGTCCCCGGGAGCCCCAGGGCATCCCCGCTCTCCTGGGTCCTGCTCTAACTCCCTGCGAGCCCCTTTCCGCCCCCCCCCCCCCGGAAGGTTGGTGCAGCTCCTGCTCCTCCGGGACGGGGCTCTCCCGTCCTGGGGACACTCGCCCCGGCCTCAGCCCGGCTCCTCGCGGGGCCCCTCCCCCTCGGAGGCCTTTTGTTTCATTTCTTTTTCCCGTCTTCCTACCTTGATAGAAGCGCGAACTCTTCTCACTGTAGCATTCCAGCTGGTCTCTCTTTACATCTCAGGCCGAATTCGTAAATTTTCAGGATGGTTTGAAGGTTATCTAGGTAATTTGGTGGGGACAGGTGACTTGGGGACCCTGCTCTTCCGCCATCTTGCCCCTCCCATCTCCTCTGGCATCTTTTGACATCCATTTGCATGATAAATGTTTTTCCATCCACTCACTTTCAATTAGCAGGTGTCTTTAGGTCTGAAATGAGTTCTGTGTAGGCAGCATATACGTCTTTTTTTTTTTTTGTTTTCAATCCATTTCGTTACCCTATGTCTTTTGATTGGAGCATTTAGTCTATTTACATTTAAAGTAATTATTGATAGATATGTATTTGATTTTTTGTTACTGGTTGTTTTTGTAGTTTTTCTGATTCTTCTCTTATGCTTTCTTTGCCGGTTTTCTTAGTGACATATTTGGACTCCTTTCTTTTTATTCTTTGCATATCTATAGTGGTTTCTGATTTGGGGTTACCATTAGATTTATATATAACATCTTCACCATATAGCAATCTATACTAAGTTGACTGTCACTTAAATTCAAACTCATTCTTTATTCCTTTTTTCCCATTTTAGGTATATGGTACCATATTTTACATCCTTTCATTTTGTAAATCCCTTGACTAGTTTTTTATCGAAATACTTTTACTGTTTTTGTATTTCCTACTTTCCATTCTCTTACAGTAAAGGGTCCCCTTTAATATTTCTTGTAGGGCTAGTTTAGTGGTCATGAACTTTAGTTTTTTCTTTTGAGGAACTTTTTCTCCATTATGAATGATAGGGAAGAGTGTTCTTGACTGTTGATTATTCCCTTTCAGCACTTGGAAGAGATCATGACACACTCTTCTGGCTTGCAAAGCTTCTGCTTAAAAATCTCATAAACTTACAGGGTTTCTTTTGTATGTAACTGTTTTCTTTAGCTATTTTCAAGACTTTTTTCTTTATCATTACTTTACGCCATTTTGATTACTATGTATCTTGGGATGGGTACTTTGGTTGATTTTGTTGAGGGATCTCTGTGCCTCCTGGATCTGAATACCAGTTTCCTTCCCCAGATTAGGTAAATTTTCAGCTCTTAATTCTTCAAATAAATTTTCCACCCCCTTTTCTCTCCTCCTTCTGGGAACCCTATAATGTGAATGTTATCGTGCTTGATGGAGTCACTGAGTTCCATAAGTTTATTTTTGTTTTCATAATTATTTTTTCCTTTGCTATTACTGTCTTCTAATTTATTAAATTGTCCCTCTGCTTCTTTCAAGCTGCTATTTATTGTGTTCTTCAACTCTAAATGGTTCTTTGTTTTCTATCTCTGTCTTCAGGGTCTCACTGATGAGACATAGTAATCAATGTAATTGATTACATAGTAATCAAAATGGCGTAAAGTAATGATAAAGAAAAAAGTCTTGAAAATAGCTAAAGAAAACAGTTACATACAAAAGAAACCCTGTAAGTTTATGAGATTTTTAAGCAGAAGCTTTGCAAGCCAGAAGAGTGTGTCATGATCTCTTCCAAGTGCTGAAAGGGAATAATCAACAGTCAAGAACACTCTTCCATTATTTTCTGAAGTCCAGTAAGTATTTTTATGATCATTATTTTAAATTCTCTATCAGGGGAGGCCTGGGTGGCTCAGCAGTTGAGTGTCTGCCTCCACACACGGGGCATGATCCTGGGGTCCCAGAATCGAGTCCCATATTGGGCTTCCTGCGTGGAGCCTGCTTCTCCCTCTGTCTGTCTCTGCTTTTCTCTTTCTGTCTCTCATGAACAATAAAGTCTTTAAAAATTAATTAATTAATTAATTAATTCTCTATCAGGCATGTTACTTATAGGTCTTTCGCTAGGTCTGTTCCTGTGATTTTTGTCCTGTTCTTTCATTTGTGACATATTCTTCTGTCTCCTCATTTTGCCTAGCTCTCTGTTTCTGTGGGGTAAGAAAGTCAACTACATCTCTTATTCTTCAAAGGAGTGGGCAGGATGTGCACTTGTAAATGAATTTTGTCCAGTTTTTTGGGGAGGGGTATTTTTTTTTTTTTGTAATTCTTGGGGAAAAAAAGGGTGATATGTGCTTACTTCATTTCATCTGGAACAGAAGTTCCAGTAGCTGTACTTGATACTTTTGAACTCTCAGGATCCTCTTACCTCTTCGTAGTTAACCACATTTTAACACTTAGTAATTCTGGATATTACATTTTTCTGTTAAAATTACTGATGTGGTATTTGTGTCCTGACGGGACTCTAACTGATATTCAATTTTTGGTAATGATAAAGCTTAGGGTATGACCTATCCATGAATGTGGATAGTGCCGGTATAAGCAAAGAAACTGAGGGGTTGGAAGGATCACCTACATAAAAATTGAGGTCACAGAAGTAACAGAAGAGAGAAAGGCAGTATGCCAGGACCTCACTGACTCAGCACCTTTACCACATTATGCCATGACCACAAGGCATTTCAACAAATGAACCCAGGTGCTCTGATAGAATATCCACAATATTCACACATTCTGCATCAAACAATTGTCATTGTTGGGTAACATCAAAAACCCCAGTCAGGAGTCAGGAAATCTAGTTCTAATTCTGGATTTATCATGTAAATTCTAGCCTTATGACTTTAGTAATACATTTCCCTTATTTGAATCTAGGTTCAAAACACATTTCCTCATCTGTGAAATGTAAGGTTCATTTTTCTTGTTCCCCCCTTAGAAGGGCTGTGAAGACAGTTTGTACACACCACATTATCTAATTATGCCCATGCTACAGATTAAGCCTTTCTACTTCCAGTTGCTAAGGTATACAGGTTCTACAACAAAGCATGTCTTTGTGTCTTCACCCCTGCTCTGATCCAAATTTTCTTTTGTTTTCCCTTGGACACTGCTATAGTCTACCACCCAACTCCCTGACATTTCTCCCTCATACACTTCCTGATGAGCCTTTCTAAAACAATACGGTAATATGTTCTCTAAAATCTACCACAGCTGCCCATTACACATTTAGGGATCTCCATGATCAAGCCTCAGTGAGCTTTATAGCCATACTTCTTCTTCACATAGCCCTCTCCTGTCCCCAAAGCATATCACTTTAGGAATCCATACAGGTTATTGATGATCTACAAACTTATTTCTCATTTAGATGCCTTTGAATAAACTGCTGCCTCTGCCCAGCATACCTTCCTTCTCCATCTCTGTTAAAATATTTTTCTCTCAAGGCAATTTAAACACATTTCTGAGGACATAGATCTTTTTCACACAATAGGTGGTGAAAAAGTGGAGGCCTTTTCCTCCACTGAGGTTCCACTGCATCAGACTTACTCTTCCCTGGAAGGAACTCACCACAAATGGTTTTATACTGTGCTTATAAACATGCCATGCCTCCTTCACTGGCTGGGAACATCTCTTAGGCAGGGCTACATCTTATTTGCCTCTCTCTAGCACTTAACAAGAAGGCCTGGAAGGTGCCCAGGGAATGTTAAGTAGATTGCTAAGATTGTACATGGGGTAAAAATGTCAACATGGTTTGCGATGAAGACAAACCTGAATTATGTATGGAGACCATATAGTACATGTTATGATTTATGAGACTATGTTTGAGAATGTAGGGGTACAGATGTATGGTTTGTAAAAGAAGTGGTGTGTGTATGTGCTTTGTGGATATGTGCCACATAAACACAGTAGAAACTTCCCGGGGCCTGCCCTCTCTACAACTTGGGCCATGCTGGTTATCTTCCACAGCATTGGTCTTATCTCCTCCCCACCCCTGCCCATGCTTTCCTACCTTAAATGTACATCACTCTCCAGCCCATAGGCCCCTTGTTCAACAGCTTTCTCAAAGGCCATCATGGTATTCTCAGGCCCCAGCTGTGAAAGAAAAAACATTAGTCCCTATACCTCAGTATCTCTCATTCTAACATCCCTTTTATGGCTGGGAGAGAGCCCAGTAATGAAAAGGCTTTAGGAAGATAAGTTTGGATCTCTCAGCTCTTTTTTCAATGAGCCTGCCTATATTCTCCTCTCCCCAATCTGATTCCAGGACTTTGCTCATGTGAGGCAATACCACTGGGCACAGTACATAAAAATAAATTAAGTCAGGTGACTTGGGTTCAAATACAACCTCTATAATTAACTCCTTATTCTTGTCATTTCAAGCTAACCCTTTTTCCTTTCCATGGGTTCCCAGGGTTTTGAGGTCCCATTCTCATCCCCACACCCCATGCATACCTTTACTCACCCATGTTCAGACCTACCATGGGTGCACCTCTATGTCCAAAGAAGTCTGGCTTGGGTCCCAATTTACCCTCCTCCTGAATGCAGGGAGAATGAATCCCCAATGGCACAACATAGAGACATAAAAGGATGAAGAAAAAAGGCAATCCAATAGCCACCTGTAGAGCTGAAAAAGTTGGGGGAGAAGTGAGAACAAAGCAGAAGAGGAATAGAGAACCATCTCAAGCAGCCAACTATCCCAGCAGCAGTCAGTAAGTACCCAGTCTATTGGTTTAATTAACTCTGTGGACTGGCTGATTTACTATTTCTGTCACACCCTTATTTATTTTCAGTGATTTTAAAGTATAGGATTATCCAAATACAAGCATTATGGTTAAGAAAAGATTATTGGAACTGCAAATTTATAAGGGAATAAACTGTGCAGGAGGTAGGATGAAGAGAAAATATTAAGGAATACCTTCTCAGGAGGATGAGTAGTTTGGCTGCTTCTAAGAAAGCCCTGAAATCTGGAAAGCCTAAAATGTCCATATTTAAGGCAGTGCAATATAGTGGAAGGAGCCCTAGATGACAGAAATCTTAGTTCAAAGCCAGAGTCTACCACTTTCTAATTGTGTAACTAAGAACATATTGCTTAACCTCTCTGGTTTTTCATTTTCTTCATTCTTAAAAATGGGGCTATCTTGCTACTAAAATCTACCTCATAGAATTGATAGGACAGTGATGAGTCATACTAAGTTATCAATAAATATTAGGTACTCGTTCTTCTCTCTCCTATACACACACACACACAACACTCACACACACAATATCTGCTGTCACTGGCCATTTCAACACTATTTTAGACCTCTGAGAATTTTACCCATTTGCACATTTTTAAAAGTTATCACTTATGCTCCAATAATTTGCAAATCTAGATCTTCAGCTCTAACCTCTCAACTTTGTGATTATATTACATCTCTTGGTTCTTTCTCTGTCATTGTGTGCCATCTTGTATCTTCTGACTCTAGCTAAAATTCAGGAAATGAAAAAGAGATCATTATCAACCCTTTAAGATCCTGCCCCAGAAATATTACCTAAAATTCACCTCCACCTACTCATACACACACGTACAACCATCAATGGCAAAAGTATCAAGCTAGTCTTTCTTTTGCCTGCATCCTTCCACAAGTCAGGAAGCAAACACTCCTTATTTAACTAAGAGTAAAAAGAGAGATGTATAGAAAGGAAGATTCTAGTTTTTTAGTAAAGATGCTGCAAGATAACTTCAGTCTCAAAACAATTCAGTAAACAGCTGATTCTGTTTCCATATCAGGAATGGAGAGGAAATCAGTGGCAAAAGCAGACATTTCTGTCAGTCAGGGACTCACAGGAGACTGCTTTGAATTACTAGGAAGGAACCAGGGACCTATTGAAACTAGTAATACTTGATACAAACTAAAGGAATTGTGACTTGTACAAACATTCTGGTCAAGTAAAATGTACCTCTATTCTCACCCCACCCTCAATCCATTCCCAGACAATCTGTAACAACATGGAGAAAATTCTTATTATTCTAGAAGAATCCCTCTTTAGAAGGAGACTTGTTAAGTTAGAGAAATGCTGTGACAGACCACAAATCGTTATTGAGTTCAACCACAAAGAGCATGTAGAAGTAACAAGCTAAACAAATTTCAAAAAGGTATAGTGGTGGCTATCTGCCAAACTTGCATTTTGCTAAGTGTAGAAAACAAGCTAAAGTCAGAGCTGAAAGAATCAGGCAAGGTTCCACCCACATGACATACCTTCTTCTTCCAAATGGATCAAGTAGAAGCCCACAGGCCAGGAAAGGATAACCATCACAGTTATGCTGCTCAGGTGTATGTAAGGAGCAAAGACCTGGGAGATAGCCAAAAGTTAGGCTGAACACATCTAGACAGACAGTGCTAGACCTATAGGATGTTGCTTACCTGAAGTGACAGCCCAGCTGTCAGCCACCTGTCTCGCCAGAACTTGCATAAAATCCAGAGAAAAAATGAGCATATCATAATCACTATCAGAATCACGATCTGGAGAAACAGAAAGAATTTCTTGACTTCCAGACACTAGAACTGAATCAGAACTGTCGTTGGGAATTTTATGTGTGTCTCAACAATGTCAGGGATTTCATTTCCTCATCCTTTTAATCTAACAACCTCGCAAATCTCCAATATGGAATGGATCCAATCACTTACCTTCTTTGTGTATAAGTCTTTGCTGGACAGCATGGCTGGAAAAAAATCACTCAGCTATGTAGTTTGACGCCTTTACTGCCTCAGCTGAGCCCTCAATATTGCTAGGCATCTCTCAGCTTCAACAATGGCCATTACAATGGCTCACTACATTTTTTGTAAGAATCAACAAAATCACAAGTAAATCATACTTTCTAATTACCTTTTCCATGTATGTCTTCCCCAAAGACTATAACATTCATGGTATCAAGGACACTGTTTATGATTATATCCTTACTGCCTTGCAGAATGTTAGGCACATGGTAGGCATCCAATAAATATTTGTTGGACAAAGGGAAACCAAAATCTGCTTGCCAGAACACTACACACTTCACAAAGAAAAAACACTGAGACCAAGAAAACACAACTCTGAGATTTTCTCCTTTATTTTTTTAAAAGATTTTATTATTTATTTGAGAGAGACAAAGAGAGCACACAAGCAGTGGGGAGGGGTAGAGAGAGAAGCAGACTCCCTGCTGAACAGGAAGCCCAGAGCGGGACTCAATCCTAGGCCCCTGAGATGATGATCTGAGCCAAAGGCAGACACTTAACCAAATGAGCTACCCAAGTGCCCCAAGTTTTTCTCCTCTAAATGTATAATTTTTCTACATCTGTGTTGCCCTCTAAAGAGTACTTAGTTACCGCCTTTCCATTATCCATTAAAGTAATTGAATCCATAATTAAACCTTCTCATAAAATACCTCCAGGCTTTGCTGGCTTAAATGGCTAATTTATCAAACATTTAAGGAATAAATATTTCCAATCTTTAACAAACTCTTCCAGAGAATAGAAAAAGAGGGAACACATTCTAACTTGTCTTACACAGCAAACAAAACATTCACACCCAAACTCAACAAGGACAGGACAAAAAAGAAAAAGTACAAGCATACCTCAGACATAACTGCAGGTTGAGTTCCAGACCACCACAATAAATTATTACAATAAAGCAAGTCAGATGAATTTTCTGCTTTCCCAGTGCATCTAAAGTTATGTTTATACTATACTGTAGTCAATTAGTGTGCAATAGCATTATATATTTAAAAGCAACGTACATACCTTAATTCAAAAATACTTAATTGCTGAAAATGTTAACCATTATCTGAACTTTCAGTGAGTCATAATGTTTTTGCCAGTGTAAGGCCTCAGTGTTGATGGCTGCTGACTCATCAAGGTGGTGGTTGCTGAAGGCTGGGGTGACTGTGGTAATTTCTTAAAATAGGGTAACAATGAAGTCTGCTGCATTGGTTGACTGTTCCTTTCATGAATGATTTCTCTGTAGCATGTGATGCTGTTTGACAGCATTTTACTCACAGTAAAACTTCTTTCCAAATTGGAGTCAATCTTCTCAAACCCTGCCACTGCTTTACCAACTAAGTTTACATAATATTCTAAATCCTTTGTGTCACTTCAACCATTCTCACAGCATCTTCACCAGCAGATTTCATCTTAAGAAAACACTTCGCTCATCCGTAAGAACTGCTCATTCAAGTTTTATCATAAGATTACAGCAATTGAGTCACATCCTCAAGCTCCATTTCTTTTTTTAATTTTTTTTTTATTTAGTCACACAAAGGGGGGGGGCAGAGACATAGGCAGAGGGAGAAGCAGGCTCCATGCACCGGGAGCCCAACATGGGATTCGATCCCAGGTCTCCAGGATCGCGCCCTGGGCCAAAGGCAGGCGCTAAAACACTGCGCCACCCAGGGATCCTTCAAGCTCCATTTCTAATTACAGTTCTCTTGCTATTTCCCCTATGTCTTCAGTTACTCACTCAAGTATTGAACCCTTCAGTCTTCCCTGAGAATTGGAATCCACTTCTTCCAAACTGCTGTTCATGTTGATATTTTGAACGCTTCCCATGAACCACAAATGTTCTTCAGGACATCTTGAATGTTGAATCTTTCCAGAAGCTTTTCAATTTACTTTGCTCAGATCTATCAGAGAAATCACTATCTGTGGCAGCTATCACCTTACAAAATGTATTTCTTAAATAATAATAAGGCTTGATAGTCAAAATGACTTCTTAATCTATGTGCTACAAAATGGATGTTGTATGAGCATGCATGAAAACAACATTCATTTTGCTGTACATCTCCAGCAGAGCTCTTGGGTGATCAGGTATATTGTCAATGAGCGGGAGAAAATTTTTTTCTGAGCAGGTTGTCTCAATAGTGGGCTTAAAATATTCAGTAAACCATGGGGATCCCTGGGTGGTTCAGCGGTTTAGCGCCTGCATTCAGCCTGGGGCATGATCCTGGGGTCCCAGGATGGAGTCCCGCATTGGGCTCGCTGCATAGAGCCTGCTTCTCCCTCTGCCTCTCTGCCTCTCTCTCTCTCTGTGTTTATAATAAATAAATAAATAAAATCTTTAAAATATATTCAGTAAACCATATTACCATTCAAGCTTTGTTGTTGCATTTATAGAGCACAGGCAGAGTCGATTTTGTGTAATTCCTCAGGACCCTAGGATTTTTGGAATGGTAAATGAGCACTGGCTTCAACTTAAAATCACCAGCTGCATTAGCCCCTAACAAGAGAGTCAGCCTGTCCTTTGAAGCCCGGCACTGACTTCTCTCTAGCCATTGAAGTCCTAGATGCCATCTTTTTCCAATACAAGGATATTCTGTCTATATTGAACATCTGTTGTCAAGTGTAGCCACCATCATGAATTAGCAAGATCTCCTGGATAACTTGCTGCAGCTTCTATATCAGCACTTGTTGCTCCACCTGGCACTTTGATATTATGGAGAGAGCTTCTTTCCTAAACCTCATGAACCATTTCTGCTGGCTTCCGAATTCTCTTCTGCAACTTCCTCACCTTTTCTTAGCCTTCAGAGAATTGAAGAGAGTTAGGGCCTTCCTCTGGATTAGGCTTTGACTTAAGGGAATGCTTTGGCTGGTTTGATTTTCTATTCAGACCACCAAAGCTTTCTTCTTATCAGCAATGCTTTCTTGCCATTCTTGTGTTTGTCGGAATAGCACTTTTGATTTCTTTCAAGGACTTTTTCTTTGCATTCACAGCATGGTTGTTTGGTGCAAGAATGCCTAGTCTTTAGCCTATCTCGGCTTTTGATATGCCTTCCTCACTGAGCTTCATTATTTCTAGCTGGTGATTTAGCATAGAGATGTAACTCTTCCTTTCACTGGAACACTCAGAGGCCACTGTAGGGCTATTAAGTGGTCTAATTCCAATATTGTCTAATTCCAGTGTTGTCTCAGAAAATAGGGAGGTTTGAGGAAAGGGAGAAAGAAAACAGGGTACGACCAGTGGGTGGAGCAGTCAGAATATACACATTTACCAATTAAGTTCACCATCTGACATGGTGGTGGTTCATGGTAACCCAAAACATTTACAACAGTAACACAAAGATTCTTTTTTTTTTTTTAACACAAAGATTCTTGATCACAGATCATCATAACAAATACAATGACAATGAGAAAGTCTGAAATACTGTGAGAATTACAGAAATGTGATACAGGACACAACGTGAGTAAATGCTGTTGGAAAAATGACACCAATAACTTGCGGGACCCAGGGCTGTCACAAGCCTTCAATTTGTAAAAAACAGTATCTGCAAACTGCAATAAAGTAAACTGCAGTGACATAAGGTATGCCTGTATATGCCAATCTCTCCTATGTACACAGACGCAAAAATTTTAAGTAGCTTATTAACAAAACAGAAGCGTCCCAACATAAAGGTTTAATTGTCAAATCAAGCTCACATGAATCTCAAACTGTTCTATAATCTACCCAACACCAAACTTAATAATGATTCAAAGGATTCGGGCAATTAGAAGGTACATATAAAACATTTTCTCTTGGAGAAATGTCAACCCGTCATATGCAGTTACTCATAAAAAGGTCTTTCCTCTTCTATATTAGGATACATTTGGGTCTTGGGACTTAAAATGTGAGGTGTGTTTTCTTTTAATTAAAATATAGTTGACTCACAATGTTGCAAAAGTGTACAACACAGTGATTGGGCAAGTCTATACATAATGTTATGCTCACCTCACATATAGCTACTATCTATCACCATACAACACTGTCACAATACCATTGACTATATTCCCTGTGCTGTACCACCTTTCACCTCTTTGACTTATTTATTCCATAACTGGGAGATATACTTTCCACTCCCCACTTCTTTCTCCTCTTTATGCTTCTTTCCTACCCCTTCCCCTCTGGCAACGATCAGTTTGTTTGTATTTATAGGTCTGTTTCCATTTTTTGCCTGTTCATTTTGGTTTTTAGAGTTCACATACAAATGAAATCATATATTTGTTTCTTTGACTTATTTTACTTAGCATAACATCTTCTTTAAGAAGGACTGATGGACACAGGCTGCTTCCATATGTTAGCTACTGTAAATAATGCTGCAATACACATCATATATCTTTTCAAATCAGTATTTTCATTTTCTTTGAGTGTGAGATGTGTTTTGAGCAAAGTTATAGGAAAACATTACTTCAAAGAAGGAGCCTTTTCGGTTATGGAGCATCCTTAGCTTACATCCCACTAATCATACAACTCCAGCCAGCCATGTCTCTCACCTAACATATAAATTCCAGTATTATTTACAATAATATGATTTATATTTAGTAAGTTATATCGTGCTAGAAATTTTCACTGACAAGGATTCTTTATTATCTTTTGACTAAAAAACATCTTAAGTGTTTATCAGGAGGTTGGGTTGTTATTAAGTTTTGATTGAGGTCAGTCATTCCTCCCGAAGCATCCCTAGGTAAAAGAGGAATGGGTTAAAAGCTTAGTGCTAATCCTTTCCTTCTGGGTTTACTCTGAATACATGACAACACTTCAAGTCCTACAGAATCTCCCTTGCTAATAGAAGCAGTTTTTCCTCTTAAGTCTGCTAGGCCTAATCTTTCATGGTTTGAAGACCCAATCAAGGTAATTACCTTCCAAGGGGATGCCTACTCTTCCCATACCCTACTTCCATCATTTCTCATCTCCTATAGACTCATAACTGGAATTAGATCCCAGAATGCCTCAAGAGAAAAAGGATTTGTTAATTTATATTGGCCAAAAACCCTGCAGACTATGTATGGGAATGAATCATAAGGGTGCTGGACAAGGAGAAAAGAACACAATTTTAGATCAGGCTAAATTTATTGAGTGTACTTACTAGAGATTCTGAATTGAATACACTACAATCCAGGTATTACACATCTCAAAGTGGTTCTAACTGTTTGATTATTCGAAACCTTGGTTCAATAGCAGCCTATGCTTAACAAAATTGGGATACCAGCAATTTCTTGGTATAATATAGAAGAAAGAATCCAAAGAGTTATTGAGAAAAGTTTGCTGAAATGCTATCACCTATGAACAGGTAACCCATTCCCTTATTATATTTTATGGGAGGTCTCAGAGGACACTGAAAAATACACTAGTGAGGAGAGTGTCAGTATCCTTGAAAAGCACAGTGGTGGCTAAACCTCTTATGACTGAATAAAGGTGAGATACCACCAATGAAATTAGTTTCCTGATTTCAAAGGCAATAATGAGATCCTGCTGTGGCAGAGGTCAAGTAGCAGCATTAACTGCCAGAGACAAAGTAGGCATGATTTCTAAAATAGGCATAAGCCTGAATGGTAATAAGAATGGTTTCAATCAGAGGGATTCCTTTTTCATTCCTTTTTAAAAAACATTTTGAGTATATTTGACACACAATGTTACATTAGTTTCAGATGTACAACATAGTATTTGACAACTGTCTATGTTATGTTATGCTCACCTCAAGTGTAATTACCATCTGTCACCTGCAACAATATTAGAATACCGCAGACTACCTTCGCTGTGCTGTGCCTTTTATTCCTGTGACTTACTTATTCCATAACTGGAACCCTGTATTTCCCACTCCCCTCCATCCATTTTGTCCAACACTCCCCCACACACTCCCCTGCAACCATCAGTTTGTTCCTTGTATTTATTGGTCTGATTTTGCTTTTTGTCTACTCATTTTTTTTTTAGATTCCACACGATTCTTGGTAGAGACTAACCGATCAGTGTCCAACCCCAAAACACACGGTGATCTCAATAAGGCCTATTTTTTTCACTTCTCAATCTACATTCTTTCCCTGTAAGATCTTATGACTTCAATTTTGGCCTATTCTAATAACCCTTTTTCATTTCCAGTTCATTCTTCTCATTTGAGTATGAAGAAATTTTAAGGGGACCACTCAGAATTTGGTATGTTCCTGGGTTTAAGGAAAACAAAATATGGTGTCAAATCATGCCTGAAAAAAGTTTATAAAAAGGCAAGAGGCTGCGGCTGGAGCTGCTCAAGCAAGCCCATGATAAAACAAAATGAGGGAGGCTATTGGAAATGAGCTGCATGTCCACAGATGTTGGGGCAGAGATGCTGCTTTCCGTAGAACAAATATAGGTCCTCTGAGAGACACCACTGTGGAGTCATTTTAAAGGGCCCCAAACTAAGGGTGAGTCAAAAAGACTTCAACAAATTTCTGAGAGTATAGGAAGACAGACACACACACGAGCACAGACAAGATCTTAGCAGAAGGGTCTCTGAAAATAGAAAAACCCTGTGGGATAAAAACAACTGAATATTTACCTGGTCCTGACAGCATCAACCCCAGATGACATTCTTGCCCCTCTTTGTGCCACTGTTTCTTTTATCCTAGCCCCTCTTCGCCTAGCCCTATTCTGGTGAAAGAGGTAGAAGGACATCATGCTCTATCATGCAGGCTTCCAGGCCTGGGTCAGGCCCAAATAAGGAGAGGAAAAATCTTATATTGTGGAAGTTTGGGTTATTACAATGAACTGAAATTTTTATTGACTGAGATGAGAATGTTCCTATGACTATAAAGGACTGAGAAAGTAATGGAGCTTGCCTATGAAGTTATTGGGATGGGAAGAACAGGGTCACAGAGGGGTTTAATAAGGGGTGGTGAAAAAAAAGTTTGAGTTCAGCTCCATCAGTAAATCAGTTACAACTGTTAGAAATTTAAGGCTTTCAGTTCCAACAGTGTAAATAGATCTCTTCTTAGAAGGAACACTGAGGGGGAGGGGGGGAAGAAAAAAAAAAAAAAGAAGGAACAATGAAAGAAAGGGTCACTCTGTTCTTAACACTGAGTGCCTAAGAGGCATATTCAGTCCTGGCCCAGGGTCTCCTACAAAGATTCAGTGTCCTACCTTATGACACCAGTGCAGGTATAGTTCATACCCTTCCCAAACTAACAAAAATGCAAGTACCTGGAAAAGCAAAGAAGAAAAAGGAGGTTATTTTGAAATCACCAAGTTGCTGCCCAAAGCACTGTTCTATATCTCAGAATTCCCTTCACAGTCTGGCACTATATTCACTTCTTGCTATACCTGTACTTTGCAGCCTCTGGTAGTTTGCCATGCTGCTCCTCTGCCTGAAAAGCTCCCCCTCCCCATGCCACTGGTTCCAAGGTAGTTAAAATGCCACGTTCTATGTGTAATGTTCACTAGCACCTCCAGGAAGAATTCTTTGCATCTCTGGAATTTCCTAACAGTTGCCATACTGATACTCTTCCTGAATTCCTAACAATTTCTTTTCCCTGTGATGAACTGTATTCTGGTTATTACTTAGACCCACTTGTGACAGAAGAGAAGGCAGAGGCCAACCCTTCCAAGAGTTATTTAAAAGCTCTTGAGGAATCAGTGCCATTGTTACAACAGTTAACCACTGCTGTTAATCTGATATTTAGTCAACAAGTCTTAATTAGATTTTAATCTAAATCTAACTAGCCTCCAAGTCAGCAGGGAATATATAAAGCTCTTAACTATTTTATCAAAATAATTTTATATATCTGATTTCATTTGCTTTTTATCCAGCCCCATAAAACACCAATTAAATATTATCATTCTCATTTGAAAAAAAAGAAATTGAGAGTCAAAGAGGTTACAAAGTAACCTAACAACAGAAACAGAACTCAGATTTTCCTCTTTGTGCACTGTTATTGCCACTGCATGTATCCAAAAAGAGGTACCATAGAGTAGGAAGTTTGTGATAGTTATAATATATTGCCTTATTGGACACTAGAACTCATTTCTGCCTTAGAAGCTAACTATACCATTTAATGTGCACTGTGTATAAAAGCAGTACAAGTCAGTGGCCAGAGTTTGGCCCAGAGCACATCCTTCATCTGCATTTTCCCCATTAAAAAGAAAAGCCACCCTCCACATCAAAACTTCCAGGATGGTTTTCCTGAAATAGAAATCTGATTTATGCCAAATGTCTTAGCTTTACTTTCCAGACCTTCCAAAATCTGTCACAAGCCTATCTTTTTAGCCATGCCCCCATTATTCTCCATTGTGCTCTATATGCTAACAGAAACTGACCTTTCCCTCCTATCTACCCACACTCCATATTTCTATCGTGCCAACTTTGTCATAATGTTCCCACAGCCTAGAAATGTTCTTCCCCCATCTGCATATTATACACATGCCCAAATCCAACATCCCTTCAAGATCACACATCAGTGCCACCTCTTCCAAGAAGTCTTCCTTCTTGGCTGAAAGTCACCTCTTCCTTCTCAGAACCCATGCAGAACTTTTTTTTTAGGCCTCTCTAATGACAAATATAATATTCTGTCTGGGTTAGCTATTTTTGTCTAAGAGTTAGCTGTCCTACTAGAATCTAAACTCAGCGAACTATGACACTTTTATAACTTTACATCTCATACCTCTTTGAAGTGTCTTGCATGAAAACAGAAACTGCATGTTTTGTTGATCACTGTATACTCAATACTTATCATTCATACAGTGATTAACAAATTTTATTGAAAAAATGCAAATTGCAATGGATTTGGTGGGTTGGGGTTTTCTGTATCAGAAAGGAAATCAGTAAGGTCAGGGAATTGTGAAATCTGGGAAAGATATATATGTCCTTTAAAAAAAAAAAGATTTTATTTATTTATTCATGAGAGACACAGAGAGAGAGAAAGAGAGAGAGAGAGAGAGGCACAGACACAGGCAGAGGGAGAAGCAGGCTCCATGCAGTGAGCCTGACATGGGACTAGATCCCGGGTCTCCAGGATCACACCCTAGGCCGAAGGCGGTGCTAAACCGCTGAGCCACCTGGGCTGCCCAAGATATATATGTCCTATGTGTAAGTGGGCACTGAAATACTCCCATTACCTGAAAGTTAATCTCCCCTAGCTTTACACTTCTAAAGACTTTTCTCTTGCTTGGCCTGAATTTCTCATGTCACACTACACTACTATGTCAGGAAACAGAAATGGGGTCACTATTTGCCAAAGGTCTTACATAGTACTACTCTGCACCTGGACTAGAGGACTAATGTACGTTTGCATATTAGAATAGGTCTGAAAAACTAGCTAATTTGTAAGGCCCAGAAATACGGATTCTCAGGAGACAGGATATGGAATGCGGTAGTTCAATATGTAATGTGAATCTGGGGTGTTTAAAATAACAACACTGGGTGAACCATAAAAATAATTGGCTATGAAACAAGATTAGAAAAAGGATGTTCTGAAAAAAAAAAAAAAGAAAGAAAAAGGATGTTCTGGTATCTTTTAAAAGAGGAGGTTCTAAGACAGATCCTCTAATAGCACAAGCCTTTTTTCCTCCATCCATCCCTTGCGCCTAAGATTCAAGTAGCTGATGTAAACCCCAACTCTGCTAAGACCAGCATGATTTTAGGTTCTGAAGGCTCCCAGCACCTACTAGATACCATCTCAGATAGGAGCACCTCATGAGGCTTCTCAGGAAGAGAACAGGAGAAATGTGAAACATTACTCACCAACCGCAATGAAACATTCATTACTCACCACCAGCAATGAAGAGTAGGCAGCCAGGATCCCAAATAAACTGAGCAAAACAATGGACCAAAAGAACCAGTATCCTGTACCTAGAAAAACGACCCTGCAAAAATGTGTTTCGATCCTTTAAACATAGCAGAAATTAGCAGTGTCTGTGTCAAGGGTGAGGAACAAGACTGGACTAAATGAAGCACAAGAAAATGAAAGGAGTTAAAAGAGAAGCAATCTGAGAAGAGATCTTTGAAAAGCTGTGGAGATACTTAGTTGAGAAGTTTGACTTTACCCTACAGGCAACTTGGTATTTTAATGGTCTATATAAGTGGTATGATTTTTAAAAGTTATCTAGAATATATACTCAAAAATTATGCTCTCTTTATATAATACAAAAATTCTGGAATGTCAAAAGAGAAAAAGTCATCCATAAGTTCACCATCTTAATAAAATTAGTATTTTCCATTCTGGCAAGTTCCTTGTCCATTTGCATATGTTTTCTAATATAACTGCAATCATAGCTACCATATTAATTGCTCTATGCTAGAGCTAAGAGATTTGGGCCCTTGTAAAGCAGATGGAACATATTCTGTTCCAAGAGTAGGTTATGAAAGAAACTTGCTAATTATTTGCTAAGAAAAATAGTGTTATTTTTCTTAGCAAAAATAACACCAACATAACTTAGTTATGTTAGTCTACATATTATATGTCAAATAATTTAGACTCATTTCCAGATAACAGAAATTACCTTCTCTCAATATAAAACCTGGAGAAATTACATTTTAATAATTTAAAATATACATCAACTAACATATAACCACATTAAAAATAAGAAAGGAAATTCTCTTTGGTCAGGGGCTATAAAACACATCAAGAAGAAAGAAACAGGCAAGCAGTCACCCTATCGAGAGCTATCACTAATCAAAACACAATGAACAGTATTCTGCAGAAGATGAACTTACACCCAGAAATCAGAAATCATAAAAAAAAAATGTCAACAAATGAATTCAATAAAGCTGACACATGGAATAATTTGCATCCAAGAAAATAGAGCAATCAGAAAAGAATCACAAAACAAATATATTTAAGATGTTTAAAGAAATAAAGGAGGACTAATATCCATGTAACAAGAATATGTTTTTGCTTTAAAAAAAAAAAAAGGATTTTAAGTAATCTCTACACCCAACACAGGGACTGAATTTACAACGCAAGAGTAAGAGTTGCATGTTCTACTGACTGAGCCAGTCTGGGGCCCCAAGAATATAGTGGTGTTTTTTTTTTTTTGGTAAGATTTTATTTATTCACAACAGATACACAGAGAGGGAGAGAGAGAGGCAGAGACACAGGCAGAGGAAGAAGCAGGCTCCATGCAGGGAGCCTGATGTGGGACTGGATCCCGCGTCTCCAGGATCACACCCCAGGGCTGAAGGAGGCACGAAACCGCTGAGCCACCAGGGCTGCTCAAATATAGTGTTTTAATACAAAGTTCTTGAAAGAAAATGAACAATGGACTTAATATCAGTGTAGATATAGCCAAAGGACTAATCAAACAGCTAACCAAGAAATGGTTTTGGCTTTGCTTTCAAGTAAGAATGGAAAACTAAGGTTTGCCATTTAATTGTGCCCCTTGTCTTTTCTAATCATTTTTCTGACCACACTAGATTTCTAATCATTTCTCTGACCACACTAGATTTTTTTCACTTCCTTTAACATTCTTTTTTTTTTTAAGGCTTTATTTATTTATTCACGAGAGACAGAGAGAGGCAGAGACATAGGCAGAGGGAGAAGCAGGCTCCCTCTGGGGAGCCCTAAGCCAAAGGCAGATGCTCAACCACTGAGCCATCCAAGCGTCCCTTTCAAACTTCTTTTATATATTCAATCACATGTAAGTATTATTAATAGTTTAGTTCAGCTCAAAACTCTCTCGCCAAACTCAAGTGAAGTTCTTATCTACTTGCTATGAACTTCAGGCAAAGGAAAAGCTGTGATTTTTTTCTCTCTCCGTTTTTACCTCTTCCTATGCATTCATCTGGCTAGTGGTGTGGGCAGGGGGTAGGTAACAAAAGGGAGTGAGAAGAATGAACAGGAGTTAGCTTTAGTGACTACCTACACATCAGCGAGAATCAAAAAAAAGGAAGTCTTTCTTGGCTATCATCCCTCTAATCTGGGAATATACCACTGCTGATGAATATATAGGAGGCTCACTCTACATGGATTGTCCAATTTAGGCTTCTTGACTTAGTATTTTCAAGAGGCTTTCTCTCTGCTTTGGGCCATTTGTTTTATATCCCCCTAGTTCCATAATCACATCCCCCTTTTAGAAGAAGGCCTTCTCATTCAATACAGAGAGCCTTTTTAGGACAGCCTAGTCAATGCAACCTCCTCATCTAAACCGACATTTGCTGTACTAGTGCTTAAGAAATCTTCAGGACCTCATCCTTGCTTTCCTATAGCTGCAAGATGCAGCTTTCTTGCATCTTCCCCCAATACATATATTATATACCACAGTTATATTAGAACCACCAATCATTTCTGAAAAAAAAAAAAGGCACATCATTGTGAGGCATTGAGAACTTTCACATACCATAAGGAATAGGGAGACAAGTCCAACCCCACAACACACACAGAGGGTGTGTGGGGGGAAGGAAAGTGACAATTGTCCCATCAAAAATTCTGCTCTACCTCTTTCTAGCTAAAGATAACAATTTAAAAAGCTGGATGATGTTTTTTAAAATCTAAATGAAGGCATCAGGGAACCAATAAGCAGTGAAAAACTATGGAACCATGATACAAATAAGGGAGGAAATCCACAGATATAACTTGGCATTCGGGTGATTTTTCTCCAGAAGTGGCTGAGATAAAGGAGGGCTTCCTATACATTGCAGGGCTAGGAGGACAAAAAGGTGACAAGGGTTATCTGATAAACACTATACACTTTGATCTGGAACCTTCTAAGGTTACATCCTAGGAATAAGCACAAACCAGAAATAGACTCTTTTGGGGGTACTAAATCCTAGCTTTGAACCATTTAAGTGTATCAAACTGGATTAAGGTGAATAGGATTTGCTAATACACCTAGTTACTTGTCAGAGTAACTGAGAGGACATAATGTAATTCAAGGCCTCAAGTTAAAAAAAAAAAAAAAGGCCTCAAGTTACTTTTACAAACTTTTTATACATAATGTCTGGCATTCAAGAAAAACACAAGAATGAAACAGAGACACGTGAACAAACAGATGAAAAATAAAGAAGATTAAGGCACTTAGGGATAAAGAAAGAAGGTCTAATATACATAAAATTAAAGTTCCAAAAGTAGAGATGATAAAAAATGGGGTAAAAACAACATTTGAAAAGACAGTGGCTAAGAACTTTTCCAAAATGATTAAAATATTTTATTGCTCTGGGATCAGTCAGTAAAGATTTATTGTAGGGATCAGATACCTTATGCTAATATAGAAGCCATTAGAGAAGTCTATGTAAGGCTGTTACATTTATTCTGATATTTAGCCTAAAGTTGCTAGAAGTCAGGCTAGCAATTGGGAAGGAAAACTGAACACAACATATGAGAGAATGAAAACCCATAATGAGCAACTAGAACCCACAAGAACAAACTGAAACACTATGAGGACAGACTGGAACCCATGAGGATACATATAGACAATGGAACATGTGTCTATTACTGTGTCAAGGATTTAGCTAAGCTATCCATGGTATTGCTGCTTCAACATTCATTTTGTTTGGCCAAGTGGCCTGCAGGGACCTTAAACTGACACTAAGATGCCTCAGGGAAGCACATGACTTATAGAGCATCCCACAATGTCACCAGCGAATGTAAGTTCCTAATAGGACTCTCCCAACAGCCCTTAGGATCAAGTTTCCTCTGCATTCTAGTGCCTATATGCCTTATATGCCCCTTAGGTAAGACTCCCATGGCACTTACTAAATTCCTGCTCTTTTAGTTTGACCTGTCCAATTTGGTCCTAGCCCAGAAACCCCAAAACACTCCACCCAGGGACCCTAATAAAGGCATATGCCCCAGGTCCTGCCTCTCTTTCTGTCTATACTCTGCCTTGACCTTCTGTGTGCCCCTTGAATGTGCCATGTACTTTCTCCAGTACCTCTAAGTAATAAACTTTTTTCTTTTTTGACTTATCTTGTGGTCACTGAACCACCACTTCATCACTATTGTTGCCCTGACTCATCATCTAGCACCCTGTGCTCCACGTAACAAATATTAGTATAACAAAGTTGTAACATACTGCCTCCAAACTTGATGATAAAGGAGACCTTCAGAAATAGTTGGTGCCTTTTACTACTATGACCTAGGACATGGAGAAACTAAAAAAGATCTGGCAGATCAGACTGTATGTGGGCCGAGGTGCCACTCCATGTCAGCTAAGTGAACTACCAGATATTGCATGAAGGCTGCCATAATGCCTAAGCACATTGCTGACCTTCAGAGTATAAAACAGTGGCTGCTGATTCACTTCCTACATCCAAATTTTATGCAAATTTCTCATGACTAATCCTAACTCAATCCTATATTGGGAATGTAATTCTCAGAAATGAAGTTTTAGTTTAGCTGGCCCAGAAAGTATATTATCACAGTCCACTCAAGGTCAATTTAGCTTCTACTAACTACCCTTATTTTCTAACATGATGCAATTATCTCTCATGCAACCAAAAATGCACCAATCCTCTCCACAAGAGGTCAGAGTTCTCACCACTGGGTAATGGTTATACCTCTAATTTAAGTACTGATATATATGGTTAATTACTATCAACACACCCTATTTTGAATGGTAGAAGGATGGGAGAAGACAAAATTGGATAAAGATAGATAAACAGACAGACAGACACACATATAAAGAAGGGAGGGAAGGAGGAATGGGCAAGCACAATTCTGACCCCCATGACCTTTGTCCTCTGGTGTCACACCAGTGATGATGTTATGTTAGATGGTAAAAGGAACTTTGCAGATGTAATTAAGGTTGCTAATCAGTCAACTTTAAAATAAGGAGATTAACCTGAATTATTTGGGTAAATCCAGTGTAATCACATGAACTCTTAAAATCAGAAGAGGAGAGCATAAGAGGAAATCAGAGAGATGAAA